CCTCTAGTAACATATTTACTGAGAAAAATGTTGACGTGTTCAATACTTATTTTACCCGCTGCACATAGTGCCATCTTTACAACAGGATAATTTTTATTTATTTACCTTTTATTTATCCAGGCTAATCCCATTGAGATTGCAGATCTCTTTTTCAAGGGAGGCCTGCTGAAGGCAACCTATTGTACATGTTTTTGGTGGTGGGGGAAACCGCAGTACCCGGAGAAAACCTTAAACATGTAAACTGGGCACAGAAAGACCCCCGGTCCGAACCGGGGATCGAACCCAGGACCCTCTTGCTGTGAGGYGTCGGTGCWAACCACTGATCCATCATGCTGCCTATATGAACCTGAGTGAAACTATAAATTAAAAAAATTAAACTTTTGACATAACAGTTCCTCTGTCTTGTGGTTATAATTATAAAAAACGTGCTTGATGCTTTCTCAAGCATGTTTAAGATATCTAAATTCCTTGCTCGCTTTCTTGGCCCTGAGGTGATTTTTCTACACAGTGAGAAGCGTCTGGCTGCCGCAGCGCCGGCCGGCCRTCAGGCCTCTTCCCCTTCATCTTGTCCAGCTATTCTCTCCAGCACTGTTCACTGTAAACACACCAACAGGGCTGCCTTTATCTCTTCCTGTTCTGTCCTCACATAAGCAAAGCAGAACAAAATATACACACCAGGCAGACCAGAACGGGGAGCTGCGGGGGCAGAAATACGTTTTATGTGTGCTGCTGGGGTTGCTGTCCTCTCCCAATACGTTACATATGAACCTGTATGCATAAAACTCGACATCTGCAGCATTTTTTTCTCTATTTATCTACAGTTAAATGTTATTATTAATGAAAGAAAGCACTTTACTTTGTCATGCTGTGGTTCTTGGCTCCAAAGTTTGAGTCGAGCTTCTCTTTATTGATGCTAATGATAGCCAGGGGATAAAAAATGTGCTCTGTTGCACTGAACTGAACCTCAGAACTTTTATTCTGGGAGAGCATAAACAGACTTTACTTTAAAGCCAAACAATCCCAAGCAGTTTCTTGCATTCATACTTGATTTTCTGTTAAACCCTTGGTCATGTGAGCTTGGTTAAATGACWAACTGCTATTTTCAATCAATTCCAACAAATGTTTTTGCTTTAATTAATAACTACAAATCATAGGTSACCAAAGAAAACTGTCTTCTTTCGCCTGGCTGGAGTGAACACAGATATTTCTACTTTAAAGAGAATAACTCGCTTTTTAAATGATCCATGACCCTAACAAACCGCAAAGCAGCACCAGAGCCTCACTCCTTCTCTTTCATCCCGCTGCCAAGATCTGTATTTTTGTTTGCTTTGAAATGTGCGGAGGAGTAGGGCCGTGCCATTGTTTGTCAAGGATAATAGGCAAAAGATCCAATTTAGACGTGAGTTAAGGCCAGCGGAGACTGTTTATGTGTGCGATAATCTAACTCAGAGACTGTAAGCAGTTTAGTGTGAAAGTTACGCCCTTGGAAACAACACTGAACTTTTCTTGTTCTGTGTCAGGTCATGAGGTCATGTGAGGTGKTTTTACATGTTTTGGTTTGTCAGTTTCAACCCCAGACTAATGAAAGTGTCAGAAACGCAAGAGAATAGGGCCGGCTTGTGGCGTAGGCAARCAGKCAAWGTTAAAGGGCACCAGCCGTCCAAGRGGCACCACAAATGGAGGAAGAAAAAAAAAAAGAAACTTTCACTTTTCTGAATAAAACTGAAGAATGATAATATTCCCTATAAAAAATCCCACACTGATTGAGAAGTTGTCTGTTCGAATTTCCTGACAACCAAATTGACCAAATTACCAAGAGCCATAAAAATTAAATGTTAAAAAACTTCACTAACACATTTAGCTCACTGTTCTTACATTTAGCTAACTTTTAACA